CATGACGAGCAATGTGCCGCAGCATTGAAGTCGAGTTTTGACTCGATTAACAATTTATTAACCAAACTTAATATGTGGTACACGTGGTAACCATATCTATCCTCAAACATGATGCCCCCAACATTTTTAGATACAATTAAAGTAGATTAATAACATACATATCATTATTGGACTGAGACTAAGAGAAAATTCATGAAAACTTAACCGCGGCTATAAATGCATCAAATTATAGATCTAGATGGTTTTAAATTAATAAACCAATTATCAAGTTTATGTCATGAATTTCGATTAAATCCTATTGATTACTACGGATTTGATCAACCCAAGTCTAATCTCCATCCCAAACGTTGTCATCGCCTGGATCGGGATCAGAGTCACCACTACTGTCTGTCTGTGGCTCAATACAGAAGGGTTTCTCTCGGTCCAGACGCGTCCGCCATTGTTAACGCTAGTAGCAGAAGAATCGGTGACGTCACATCTACAGTTGTTGCGCCACCAAGCGGACAATCGGGCGCTAGCCGGGGAACATCGGGCGGGTCAGATATAACCGCAAATATGTGCGGGGTTGGCAGAAACCAATAAATCACCATTGATAAATAGGATTTTGGGTAGAAAGGCCCCAAAACTGAAAGTATTGGATTTGTCCTTTAAAGATAAAATGAAGCGTTTTATGCATTCCAATGCTGAAGAATAAAAACTTGCTATAAGTTTAAAACACCTGAATGCACAGGTCTGTGTCTTGGACCCGCGATGGTGAGTGTGGCCATGAGACAAAAAGTAAAGACATTTTAGGGTCGTAATTTCGTAACCTTTGCATGTTTAAAGAGTCCGTGGTGACTTTTGCCGAGCAATATTTAAATCTCATTGTCCAACAGGTAGATTAATTATTCAGATTAGACTAACCACATCTATTCTCAAACATACTGTGCCCAATCTTTTTAGTTACCTAGATTGATAGATTAATATAGATTGAAAGTATGTTACATATCATTATTGGTAAGATTATAACAAAATTAATAAAAAGTTCATAAACGCCGTCATAAACACTGCTGTAACAGCTCCAGTCTAAATGGCTTATGTTATTTTCTTAGACTGCCAAATGAACACCACAAATGCAATAAATATCTTAGACAAACCCAATATCAAAGCTATTTCAGCTGAAAGGAATATATTCTCAAGTTAACATACAAATATCTACAACAAGACAATTTGGATCGGGCGGTTTAGAAAGTAGAAATTAAAACACAAGTTTGATTTTCCAGGAACTGAAAGCTGTTGATAGTAATGTCTAAATTATGTGATTTTGAATACTTACAATTGTCTGGACTATTCTGTGTGGTTTTGTTAAAACTAGTAGAAAAATATTTGAATCTGTTTAAAACGATGGCATACGGCAAACTTGGATTATGTACAACGACGTGCCTGCCGAGTCATGCTAGGACGACACTACAATGACTACGCCTCGGCTCTGCTGCAGTGCGGGCTTAAAACTCAATTGGAAAGAAGGAACGACCTCTGCAGTAGGTTTGCTACCAGCATGCAAAGATCTGAAAAACTGCAAACCTATTGCCCCCAACACGACTAGAGTCACATGGACGGTGCTGAAAGACTCTGACTCTTCCCAATACCCACACAACAAGGTTTAGCAATAGTCGGATACCGTCACTGCGGAGAATAGTTTCTGTGAAAGAAAATGACATCACATTTTGATCTATGTAGTAAATGTCTTATTTTAGAGCTAATACCGATTATCTTATTGGAGTGGATTGTAAAATATATGTAAATATTTTCGCAATTTTTTTCAATCTGATACATCTGAAGCAATCCACATCTGATACACAATCTGCAACTTTTTCAATCTGATACAATGCACATATGGAAGAATGGGCACAATTCAGCCTACATGCAAGTACTTATGCAAAGTCGATTGAACAATAAACCATTTGATTGATTCAAAAAGATCTCCCAGCATTATGCTGATCTCCTTTTATGTGCTCCTAAATAGTTAATTTGTGGTCAGTACGTTTTTCCATATACCTTAGCAGCTTGGAGGGCATTTTCTCAATAGGATAAATTTGCAATTTAACTTTAGACCTTACTGTAAAACCACTATATAATGTATATAAGGGAAAACGCAATGGTCTTTTTACTTCCAGATGTAGATGAATGTACATGTGAATCAGGACCCTGTGATAACGGCGGCACGTTGCACGTGTGTGGATGGTAATAACACCTACTGCGTTAGTCCACCCGAGTTTACAGGAAAGAGATGCTAAACTTGTGGCTGTTAAATTATCAGCAGATGGATATCAAATTATCAGATGGATGAATAACATACATGCGTATCATGATGTATGATCGTGAGATAAAAAAGTCATAAAAACTTTGGCGTGGCCATAAAATTATCTATTTATAGATCTGAAATATGCCATGGATTATTAGGTTTTTTTAAACCTCAAATAATGCCCTTGATTACTACGAATTTGATTAATCTAATCTACATTTAATTCTAACCTAGACGTCAACGAATGTTCCACTGACAATGATAACTGCGAACAGGACTGTGTGAATACTGTTGGGAGCTACCGCTGTACCTGTTGGGACGGATACGAACCGTCTGGGCCACGGTCCTGCAAAGGTGAGTATCACCATGAAAGAAAAGGTGAAGACATGTTAGGTCCTTGTAATTTCGTAAGGTTCAAAGAGTTTGTGGTGAGTATTTCAGAGCATTATTTCAATCTATTTAATGCATTTAAATCCATTTAGATTAGATTCTAAAACAGTTTATGTTAATACACGTAGTAATCACATCTATTCTCAAACGCAATGCACCCAATCTCTTTTTCTGTATCTAGACTGGGAGGAGAGGGGGTGTGCCTGCGCGAGGTTTGATGTCGAAAAGCGTCCGACATGCTTGGGCTACGATCACTTTGGTGACTTAAAATAATGTTTTCATCAATTTAATTGCAGTGAGAGATAAATTTATGATTTTTTGTGTTGTCACGGGTGGCAACGGGTTTCTGATGATGATGATGATGATGACTGGTTTATTTGCAACACATCGTCAGACATACCGTTGCAGCCTTATCTGGCTGGATTAGGGCATGATACAAATCTTATGTAATACTTAAAATCCATCACAATTCTATTCCCTAACAGACAAGGTACTATTACTAATTCAAAATCAAAATCAATTATACAAACATAGGCTAAAAGACAAGGTGCGTACTGGTTAACAATCATAACATAACTTTACAATAAAAGAGACCTAATGATTGAAATCCATTCTACTTTACTATACTAGGCTAAGAGGTGAGGTACTAATGGTTAAATTCCATTCAATAATTTTACAGTAAAAGGCAAGGTAGTAATTCGTAAATCTGGATGTTCTACAGTTGAACTGGGTGAAGTTATCCTTCGTTCTCAGTTCTCTGCCGTGTACGTTTCCCCGTTTCGGAGGCAGCCAGCATGAGAAGACAGGGGATTTAGAAATAGAAACAGCAAACTTCATACACAGATTGCGTCTTCTTGAGGACGGGGGGGTGAGAGATAGCTGTTTTAGTGCGCTGTCATAGCTAACATATGTTCTGCCTAGAATCACTCTACAAGCCCTCTTCTGTACAGATTCAATGGCGCATTTTTTTCAAAAGTCTGTAATTTTGGCTTTAACAATAAAAATTTTCAGGCTTGTGTGTTGACAAACGGTTTTTAATGGTTTCTAATATTGATATCATATTATATAATTTTACGTAAATATTTTGAATAAGTATGCACAATTTATGCTACTTTGATGACGTCATCGACAAAAATCAATAGCATTAGATCAGGTACATTCCAGCTGTTTTCTTTGAAATTTCTTTTATACTTCGATCTTTTACATAAAGGGATAATATAAACCTCGTCAGTCTATTTTCATTGTAATTTAAGGTTTTCGAGTAGTTTCTCCGTCCGAAGTTTTGCAGTCCTGACTAACGCTCAGTTCAACAAGAAGTTTCTCCGTCCGAAGTTTTGCAGTCCTGACTAACGCTCAGTTCAACAAGAAGTTTCTCCGTCCGAAGTTTTGCAGTTCTGACTAACGCTCAGTTCAACAAGAAGTTTCTCCGTCCGAAGTTTTGCAGTTCTGACTAACGCTCAGTTCAACAAGAAGTTTCTCCGTCCGAAGTTTTGCAGTCCTGACTAACGCTCAGTTCAACAAGAAGTTTCTCCGTCCGAAGTTTTGCAGTTCTGACTAACACTCAGTTCAACAAGAAGTTTCTCCGTCCGAAGTTTTGCAGTCCTGACTAACGCTCAGTTCAACAAGAAGTTTCTCCGTCCGCTCGATACGACCCAAATTCCAAGTGGAATCGCTTGAGAAAGAAATCGCTGGAAATCGCTTGAAAAGAGTAAAATTTGTAAACAGCCGTGTGGCGAGGGTTTCGCGGCTGAAGTGGGCTAAGGGTAAGATAAGAGGGGACGCTATCTTGGCCCAAGCGTCCCACGTCGCCTGGACCAATCAGATCGCACTACGTTTGACAGCGAGTCTGGCACATCTGGTTTTTGTTTTAAGAAGATTTCTCAGAAATCCGCTCCGTAGAAAACTACATTTTTCAATAGGATAAATTTGCAATTTAACTTTAGACCTTACTGTAAAACCACTATATAATGTATATAAGGGAAAACGCAATGGTCTTTTTACTTCCAGATGTAGATGAATGTACATGTGAATCAGGACCCTGTGATAACGGCGGCACGTTGCACGTGTGTGGATGGTAATAACACCTACTGCGTTAGTCCACCCGAGTTTACAGGAAAGAGATGCTAAACTTGTGGCTGTTAAATGATCAGCAGATGGATATCAAATTATCAGATGGATGAATAACATACATGCGTATCATGATGTATGATCGTGAGGTAAAAAAGTCATAAAAACTTTGGCGTGGCCATAAAATTATCTATTTATAGATCTGAAATAAATGCCATGGATTATTAGTTTTTTTTAAACCTCAAATAATGCCCTTGGGCCTTGATTACTACGAATTTGATTAATCTAATCTACATTTAATTCTAACCTAGACGTCAACGAATGTTCCACTGACAATGATAACTGCGAACAGGACTGTGTGAATACTGTTGGGAGCTACCGCTGTACCTGTTGGGACGGATACGAACCGTCTGGGCCACGGTCCTGCAAAGGTGAGTATCACCATGAAAGAAAAGGTGAAGACATGTTAGACTCTTATAATTTCGTAACTTTTGCAAGTTTTAAGAGTTCATGGTGCGTTTTGTACAGCAGTATTTAAATCGGTTTGTCATAAAGGTAGATTAATAATTCATATTGCACCCAATTTTGTTCGGTTACACTTAAAATAGTTGGATAACATACATGTCATCATGGTAAGTTAAGGGCGAAATCCATAGAAAAGTAGGTGCACCGGTGCGCTATAAGCAGTTTTAACATAAGCAGCTCCAGTCTACATGACTTATATGTTTTCTTAAACTGCTTAATGGACACCACAATTACAAAACATCTTTTGAGACACACTTATTATCAAGTCAAAATTCCAGCTGCGAGGAAGATATGTTTATGTTAAAAATAGAAATAACTAGTGATCGCATTTTCCTGCATATGTGCTAGCGGCATGCTTCTGCTAATTAAATAACCCGCTTAGGTTTTATGCCCCACTTTACTTTTTTAAAACTTACTGCCAACCCAATATATAAACTATATAACATCTGTGTCCATAATATCCCCAGGGCCCATAATATCGCCACCTTGAGAAAAAAAAGTGTGCTTGAAGATATTTTTACTGCAACATATCCTAGGTATGTACATTTGAAGTGTGCAGGTGTGTATACCAAAAGTATGTTGCAGTAAAATATCTTAAAGCACACTGTTTCTCAAGGTGACGATATTAAGAACCCTGGTGATATTATGGACACGGATGTTATATATACTAAAGCAATTATATCTATTTTTACTTCCAGATGTAGATGAATGTGAATCAGGAGCCTGTGATAACGGTGGCACGTGTGTGGATGGTAATAACACCTTCTCCTGCGTCTGCCCACCTGGATTTAAGGGAGAGGAATGCCAAACTGGTGGGCGTAGAATTCAAGTTTCAAGTTTATCTATTTTACCAGGGCATAATTCTGATCCATTGATCTGTTTTTCAGGTATCCCTGGACATTAAAACATTCATGAAAATTACAAGTTGAACACAACAATATACAAATAATGTTTCAAACATTCACATGTACAACGCAATCACAGTATAGGCACATTTAGTTCATTAATTTTCCTGGTTCAGTGCTACAGTAGTAATCCTCTACAGTCTGTTTTTTTTTTAAATTTAAAAATGCTGACGTTGATGTCAGTTTTGGCTAATCGGCAGCGAATTATCAGCAGACATCAGAAATAATGCTAACAGGTAAAATACAAGCGTGGTAGCGGTGCTTTGACATTACAAATTTTGTCAATCAATCATGACACATAATAATGTTTTAACAGGCTTACTTGAATCATATCTGGTTTTTACTAAATAATAACTTCGACACAGCTAATTTAAATGTTAATTATCTTTTTTAAAGCTCCCTGTAGTGAGGATTACGACCCTCCCCTGAACGGTGGCAAAGCCTGTTCAGTGACAGATGAAACGACAGGAGCCATGCTCTGTACTGTCTACTGTCGGGACAACAAGGAGTTCGCCATACAACCTGCCCAGGTCTACACGTGCCAGGCTGATGGAAATTGGTTCGCGGACTCTGATCCTCTAACGAATCAGAGTAGCCCTTGGCCAGACTGCACAGGTATGATTTAACTAAATATGGTCAAGCCTGTAATGGACGTAAAAAAACAGAGATTTTTAATTTTATTTCTTTTATTCGCCGTTTACAGCAGGTTCTATTTCAGAATATGTAAAAAAGAGCAGTTGAAATGAAACATTAACAAATGTCCATAGGCAACAAGTTTCCGTGAAGTTTTATACTTTGCAGATTGAGAACAGTAATAGTGTAAGTAAACAGTGTGTGATCACTTAACAACTGGTAACAACGTATCGTAAAATTGGCTAAATCCCTGGTCTAATAATCTAGCCTGACTAAAAATCGCGCTCCTGGTGGCCGCCTGCCCAGATTTTTGCCCCCCCCCCTGGGGAAACAGTTGCAGACTGAATAGTGTAAACACAGGGTACATAAAATCAACAACACGACAATCAAAATAGATGAACGAAGTCAGCTTTCTTAACAGTATCTTTCATTTACTACATATTATTCATTTGACAAGGTATCGCAGTAGGTGCAAACCACAATCCGAAAAGATACTCGCAACCATTATGCACAGCAGCCACCTAATATCTGCTTTGAGAACCTCGGCTACCGGACAACTTTCAAAGTTTTAGCCCAGAAAACAGCCCGACTTTCTATACCAGCCCGGATGGTGTTACAAATTAGTCCAGGTCCTCCAGGGACGTCCCCAGAGGTACGCCTGGCATGGCTGAGGTCAGCCTCGGGTGACCTACCTAACCCTCCCCGTCTATCCTGTCAATGCGATTCAACCTGGATAGAATCTAAATAAAACATATAGCCTAGTTTACAATGGAAAAACCTTCATTTTTAGGTGGTAGTTATTTACTGGTTATTTCTCGGGTCGGCGACGCAGTTTGGCTATGTTTGTTTTCTTGTGGGGGCCCATCGGACCATCTGTTCGTGATAATTTACCCTTCCCATGACAGGGCTTCTCTATTCCCTCTCCTCACAACCCATAGAAGATTCCAGGCATAACCATACTCAAAGTCTCCTTTCATATAGTACCCCCTTGCTCCTCGCTAAAGCCACAAAACTTAAGAATCAGATACTGCTCAACTCTATATGCGTTCAGACCACCCTCTTATAGTAATCTGGGCATTGTTACTAGATCGTACAGTATACAAACTTAGTTCCCGATTAAAACAAAGTTTGCGATCTTATATCGGTTTAAATCCTGCTGAATTACAATACAATATGCACAAATGTGCATGCTAACGTTGTACTTGTAGGGAATACAGTAAACCTAACACATTATACGTATTCCAGATGTTCACACCGGGGGAACACCGACCTGTCAAAGTAGCGATTGTTAAACACGCCCCAGTTGCAGGTACCCCACCCCGCTGGGGCACAGGGCCAGTACGAAAGTCGGGCCTCGAGCGGTCTACGGCCTATTCCACAGGATTCGTAAAAGTTTGTTTCTAAAATATAGTTTACTTCAATATCAAAACTGCTACAGTGAAAATAAAAGGGCGTGCATCATCACGGACATAATGGTACACCACATGCCCAATTACACAGAAATGCTACGTACAGAACAATGCGTTTTGGCGGCGAACATCTTCCAGAAACCTTAAGTATATCTTAGGCACGGGGACAAAACATCTGGTACCACTTATCGACCCCTCTCCACATCTGCTTGAAGTTTTAACGCCGCCCTCCCCCGCTATTCCAAACAAATGGTTTTCTGGACCATTTCAATTTGCCTCAAAATTGTAGGGGGGCATTTGAAATATTACATTGACCGCAAAAGCAGCAACGGCAAAAATACGCATTTGTGCATAATTACGGGCATGCCCGCAGACGTCGTATAAAACTGCATGCTGATTACACAAAGAGAACCCAGTGTTTTGACTGCGAACACGAAAAAACGTCTGTTCACAACACTCTGTCAGGAGGTACTGACCTCCTTTACGGATTAATAATATTATTGTATTCTTATAAACACAGGTAGATACCGGCCACAGCGTCCTCACATGCTGGGATCAGTCCACTACTTTTCCGGCACTGACTGTCTGACCAGTATGGGTGAAATCATCTCCAACTTCCAACAGCTCTTCAGTCAACTGTCATCCTCCCAACCAAGTGGATCGATCACAATCGATCTTCAGAACGTTGAAGTGGAATGTGGAGGGACGGCCAGACAGGCTTCAACAAAGAAAAGCCGCATCTTCACCACTAACTCTGAGAAATCAGCAAACGGATTCACGGTAAGGTTCAAGGTAGTTGCCAGCAGCTCACTGGCACCAGAACATGTCACCCAGCTTGAGCAAACTAACCTCGTATATGCCCTGGACGATATCTACTTTGATATCGAAGACAAGGTTGCAAACCAGCAGTTTGACTTGACGATCAACGGACAACAAGCCACTGTCGACACAATTGACATCGGGCTTGCTGAGTTCGACCTCAACTGCACCCAGGGACAACTGAGTTTTCAAGACAGCTTCGAGGCGTATTGTCGTGAGTTCAACTTTTAACTTTTTTTTTCTATTTTTGTTGCTAAATTTCATTTTTATGAATCAATTGTTTTACTTTATTGGAAGAAATGTCAAACATATTTGAATACAACATATTTTTTGTGTTAGAAAGTGCCTTAACATATTTTATATATATATATATATAAAGAAACTTTAAAGCTATAAAGTGTACACATAAACTTATGAACACCCGTATTTCAGTTGACTGTCCCCCCGGCACGTTCCATGACCTGACTGCGGACACCTGTGAGTACTGCCCTGTTGGTGAGTACCAGGACCAGCCGGTACAGACGGACTGTAAACAATGTCCTCACAATACCTGGTCCGTGTTTCTTGGAGCAAAGAAGGAGGCTCAGTGTATGTCAGGTAGGGAGAATTTTTAAGGCTACATTTGAGGAAAAAGAAATAATTGCAAATGTACTGCGGCGGTGTCTACCATTTCTTAACATATTGTTTAAGTGAACGTATAAGTTTATAGTATTTCAAATACTTTCAAATGTGTAGCATGCTTGTTATATTATTCATTGCATACACGTTTTTCCGACCTTTAAAGCTTATTATGTATCTAACATATGTTTCTCAAAATTAACTAGTTTGCCTCGGCAAAGACGATCTCTGCTCCAGTTGCGTCCACGTGTGGGGTCAACTGACATGCAAGGTAAGGCTGGCATGTAATAACGTTCCTTTAGAAAGCAAGTTTGGATTCAGTAGAAAAAGGTAAAGGCGCTCGCTGAGGTGTACCTTTTTTTTTTCTTAACACAAAACAAAGGGAATTTAATGTGTGTGCAGACACTTTAGTATAGTGTCATGGTCTCATTTTGACTGGCTGACTACATACAGGAAATATAATACGAACCATTTATGTAAATTATCTATCATTGTTTTTTGTGTATACATCAACCTAAGAGTCTGCAACAGTTGCTGAGGACAGCACCTAGTTCTTATGATCGTAAAATGCCTAGAGGTATGTCTTTTCCAAGAAACCACGATGGTAATTGTGTGCAATACATTATATAGATTCGCGTTAAAACATTTGTTGCAGTGTGAAGTTGGCTGGGCCGGGTCCGAGGACGGACTTACCTGTGGACTTGACGGTGACCAGGATGGTTATCCAGATGTGTCCCTGCCTTGTAACGACACCAGGTGCAACGGGGTAAAAAATTGTATATTTCCAAAAATCGATTGCTTTAAAGTAACATGAATCTAAGTTGAAAAGTTCTGACTGTCTTTCAAGGGAATATCGTAGAATCTACCCGTCTGTTGACAGAAACTACAACTGGTATCTTTACCGGTAAATTCGCCGATTCTACCAGGTTAAAGTATCTACGATGGCATATACATTACATATAGAAACTGCAAAAAGTGATTGCTGACTTTATTGGTAGCCTATAGGAACATCTTTGATATAACCCAGATGGAATAGAAGCATTACTTTGTAGATGATTAAAAGATTAAAAGAATTATTTCAGACAAAAATGTATGAGGACTGTGTTACTTTTTGATACCGAGTTTCGTACGATGTGGACGTAGGTGGATAACATATTTTATTCCATAAAACTGGTTACTGGTTTTAGATACTAGTATTTTGTGGGGTTCCTTTCTTATTTTGGAACTGAATATTTTCTAGGACAACTGCCCGGGTATCCCTAACAGCGGACAAGAGAACACAGATGGGGACGAGATGGGAGACGCCTGTGATGACGATATTGACAACGATGGATTCCTTAACAACCTTGTAACTATAATTGCCATTTTTATTTTATCTATTTAAAAAGGAAAAACAAAACACATTATTTATGTATTAAAACAGATTACACATTGCCATTTTTATCGATGTCGTTACAACGACACTGCTACAAATGTTTTTTACCCTAAAATAAATTACAAGACACGTGCACATTTAGACATATGCATCCAGCTACATCTTACTCAAACTTTTTGTCGCAACCTGAAAGAAATACATGTTAATGCCACATGAATAAGCATACCAGCAATTCAAACCTAGAGTCAATGCCATGACTTTGACGTTCTTGCAAAGGTGCATTAAACTACGTGTAACTACTATAGGTTTTGAGCTTATTCCTAATAAAACTATTTTACATATCATGTTTATAAGCTAGCCTGCGTAATAGCCTGAACTTTATTCTGTTCCTCTACAGGACAACTGCCCACTGCTGGTGAACGATGACCAGACGGACAGTGACGGTGATGGAGTGGGTGACGTGTGTGACAACTGTCCCACGGACATCAACACTGACCAACGGGACACTGACGGGGACGGTGTGGGGGATGTGTGTGACAGTGATGCCGACAGTGACGGTACGTTTGATTCCTGTGGTATTTGTATCATTTTGACCAAATACGTTATTCATTGCGATACTTCGTTAGATAATGGAACTGAAAAATAATGTCTGTTACATAGTGCTATTATAAACACATTTACAAAACTTGATTGCAACATGCTTTGACGTTGCAGTAAAATTATACGTTACGTAACTAAATGAGTCTAAATTTTCTCCAGGGCTTCTTGATGGCAAAGACAACTGTCCGTTCGTAGCTAATGCTCAACAGGAAGATTCTGACGGAGATGGGATCGGAGATGTCTGTGACAACTGTCCACTGGTCGCAAACGTGGATCAGGTAAGTCAGTCAGTAAATTAAATAATTCTGTTGTTTGGCCCGTGTTTGATTGCATTCCAATAATGTGGGAAACGTTTACAGTGCAGTGGTCGATTGCTAGCCTAAGGGGCGTCAGGTTACCCGGGGTTACGCGCGCTGTCTCCGTGAAGCCTTAAGAGTAATTGTTTAACGGGGGCTCTCTTGTCTAAATGGAATTAAACCCGCATTGTGTACATCTCAATCGTTTTTGATTTAATTACAGTCAAAATGTGTCAATTTTTTTCTCAAGCGGGCAAGAAATCGTTTTATATTTGTCTGAACTATGTAACATGTTTCGGTTCGAAAAAAGGTTGGGACATTTTGGCCCAAGTATGACCTCGTAAAAATTAAGACTTGCTGTTTAACATCGATGAGTATCAACGACAAACGCCTGGAGATAGATGTTACATGTTTTCTTATACTAGGTGATGTAATTTTGACTTTTGCTTCCTTCTTTTCCAGTTTGACCTGGACCAGAATTCTATCGGCGATGCCTGCACTGACAACGCTGACAAGTATCAATACTATTATACAAATTTATCTTTAGTGTAAAACATTGAATCATGTTATTCCTTCAACATAATAGCAGGGGTAACTAAGTACTTCTTACGTTGATTATAAATGTTATTATCTTTCAAAAGCGATGCAGACGGGATCCCAAACTCTTCTGACAACTGTCCTGACATCCCCAACAGTCAACAACTGGATACGGATAAGGACGGAAAAGGTACAATAAACATTGAATACATCTATGAAGACATTTAAAAAAATCTTTAACAGCCTTTGAATTAAAGTAAACATTTACTCAACACAGATGTTCATTTTTAGAGGCGTCGAAAATAATTGTTTTAGAGGCTGAGCATAAACATAAATATATGGTTGAAATATATGCATACTCTAAATAAAACAGAAAAAGTCCTTAACTTAAATTAACTGTATTCAATAAACTTATAAGCCAAAATTTTGACCATTGGTAATTGAACTGCTGTTTGTATACTTCAGTATAAAATCGGTATGCTCTCAACTTTTCTTTCCGTTGCAGGGGATCTCTGTGACGATGATGACGATGGTGACACCATATTGGATGGCGATGACAACTGTCGACTTGTTCCAAGCCCGGACATTGAAGACTTTGACGGTAAGATGACTTCTACTAACATTCATGCTTCTATGATTTAATACAAAATGTAAGATTGCAGATCGTCCAAAGGGTTTGTCACCATATGGGAACCTTGGCGAGGTTATGTATTGTTTGGCTGGTATCACTTTCTAAATTGCTTACGTTATCGTCCAATCCCGTGCGTAAGTTCAGTTTTTATCTCCCCAACAATCAACAATGAAAACCACCTCACACCCTCAAATCAGCCGCCCCTATATAAATATGCATAAAACACACACACTCACAAGTCAGACACACTAAAAAATCGATACTTCGGAATCCGTACCCATGGTTAATTCAATGACCAACTCTTACTACCGCTGTCCTAGAAGGTTATTTATGCAACCATCAGTAGGTTTTTACATCCCAGGTTTGGGTTGCCGTCTCAAAATCATTTGAGTAACAGTGACTGATCTCATGCCAGCCTAATGCAATTATTCACCAAGTCAACACTGTTGTTAAAAAAAAAACAATGCTACCATGTGTTATTTTAGGAGATGGAGTAGGCGATATCTGTACCGGTGATTTTGACATGGACGGCGTGCCTGACGCTGATGACGTGTGTCCTGAGAGTGGGGTCATCGCCCGTACGGACTTCAGGAACTACCAAACCGTCAACCTGGCCAGTCCTAGTAGCCAACCACCCGATCCGGTTTGGGAGTTCCTTAATGAGGTATAACATAATCGGAAAAGCATGCCAAGGGTTTAAATCGGACGATTTTTTACCATTTTCGCATGCGCGAAAATGGTAACTCAGACGAGTTGGCACGTTGGATGCATGGATGGTTCGACGGTTCGACGGTTCCACCCTTCAACGGCCATGCAGACATGCTAAGTCACCGCATGTCGCTAGATGTCGTTGTTGCGACGGCCATGCAGACATGCTGAGTTGCCGCATGTCGCTAGATGTCGTTGTTGCGAGTGCACTTTTTACCATTTATGCCTTGGACGTTTGTATACTTTCCATTATGGTTGCTAATTTCAAAATCATAGTTCTATTAATGTTGCATAACAAAGCTGCTGACAAAACAAACTTAATTTGTCTTGAACAATAACTTGATTTTATTATTTGCCAAAAATGTTGATAAAGACATGTCTATAATCACAGTAATCAAGGATTTTAATAAACTGCATAAATTATGTCAATGAGCATTAGCAGTGTGGATTAGTCTAGATGTTCAGATTTCCATTAGCCGGCAGTCCAGAGGGTCACACGCCCGACCAATCAAGGCGCTGCAGGCAAAGCTTATTAAAAGCCTCCTTTTCAGGCGTTCCCGGATTGTGTGTGTGTGTGTGTGTGTGTGTGTTGGGTGGGGGGGGGTATTTTCTGACCAAACGTAGATCGCACGCAATAGAAGCTCCGGCCTACATAGCTGTCCGTGGAACTATTGATATTACCTGGGTGCCTAACTTTCACCAACATGCGTCTTTTGTATTTTAGGAAATTAATTAATTAATGAGTGAGTGTTTCATTAACTTAAATAGGTATTGCATTGTTTGGCAAGGTATTTTCCATTGACAATTTTTAATGGATCAGGTTGATCAGATGATATAATGTAAACAATTATATATGATTAGTAAAAGATGACTTTTGAAGTTCTGTTCGAGTATTATTTTAGGGTTGAATCAGGGTCAACGCGAAAAAAAATCATGATCCGGTGATTGACATCATGCCCCCCCGCACACTTCATGTATTCAGTGTTCTAAATACTTCAGTCTGCAATTTGCAGATAGATTTTCAAGATTGCAGGATAAAAATTACACAATCTGCAATTTGAAGAAAGAAAAAAAAAAAAAACTATGGTCCTCACAACTTCATATTCCCTTTGTTTGACCCGCCCGGCGCCCAAATCCCGCTGCGATTCAAGCCGCGGCGGCTTCCCGAGCCATGCAAATAAACCTAGTCCTGACGCCACAGCCTCCGATTTCCACCGAGCCAGCCCCCAGCGCATGCCGACAGCGAGGGATGTGGCTCAGATTTCCGACGATTTCCTTATAGTCTGGACCAACCGCCCAGGTAGTGGCCAGAACAACTAACATCGACCTCGAGCTGGTATCTACCTGGTTCCTCGACTGGGGTCTCCAACTTCACCCAGATAAATGCAAAGTACTTTGCATCAAGTCCCCTAGAAGCAAGGTACAGCTTCCTCCCATATACATCGCAGGGCAGGAAGTTGAACAAGTGCCGTTCTACACCCACCTGGGAACAACCATCCACGAAACCTTACGCTGGACCGAACATGTTCAGATTACAACCAGTAAGGCCAGGCGAACCCTGGGTTTCCTATGGCAACTCCAGGGCAAGCTATCCCGGGAGGCACTTGAAATGGCGTACAACACAATGGTCAGACCAAAACTGGAGTACGCCGCCGTACTGCTCGGGGACTTGTCCTGCTCATCCAGCAAGATGTTGGAGAGAGTGCATTACCAGGCCGGCTGCCTCATCACCGGAGCCTTGAGACGTACACCATCAAGTGTCGTCATGCAGGAGTTAGAATGGGACAGTCTGTCCATCAGGAGGCAGTTCCATTCCATGGTTCTGATGTACAAACTGGTGAACGGACTAGTCCCCCCTCACCTCCAGCCACTAACTCCCACCACACGAGGAGACCAAAGGGTCGCACGTGTTCAGCTGCGGAACGCAACGCACCTCCACTTACCTCGGTGCCGTACACAGACTTACAAGGCCAGCTTTCTTCCTTATGCGTCACGGCTGTGGAATCAGCTGCCTCAGTCTGTTAGAGAGGCCCGCAGCATCACTATATTTAAGAACATGTGTCGGGCCCACCTGCTCACACAGCAGAAGCACCAGTTGACCCGGAGACGTGGCCCCAGACACGAGAACATTCTGGCGGCTAGAAAACGCATGAACTGTATCTAGTGCTAAATGGACTGATATACTAGTATTCTAATCTATGCTGTTTTAGTACCCTTATACTTATCTTTATATACTTATACTAGGTTTAAATGTGTGTCTTGTTTGTGTGCTTGTGATTGTTTTGTGTGTGGGCCACAACACCAGCCCCCGCTGCCTGTGGCCCACGAGTATTGTACTTGCTTGCAATCCTAATAAATCAAATCAAATCATATTTAGATCATTCGGAAGACTTCGGGTAGCAAACAAAATGGCCGCCATGCACATGATTTTATACTAGTAGCTTCGCTTCTCAACCGAAATGAGGAAGTTTAACCTCATTTGCAGACTTTAGCGGCCATGGAGTTGATTTGGGGAAGTGCTGAGACGCGATTTCGCTACGGCATATGGGATTTTGCCGCGGAGGGAGTTACGTACGCCGGCAAAAACTTGCTTCAGCGATCGGCTCCAGAAAATTTATCTTTATGCTGCCGCTCAAGTCTTCGAAGGTGGTTTAACGAAGTTTATATAAATGATAAAGCCACTTTGCGTAGATCGATCTCCGTTTTCTTGCGATGGTATGAAAATTCAAGTACAGTATATTTTCAAAACGTTTGATATTTCTTTGTTCGTTGTCACATGTTGTTTTCACATGTCACATTTATCTTATTGTCATGTACAGTTACCAGCGTGAGTCTGAGTCGAGCCATTGTTCTTATGTGGCCGTTAGCACATGTTGTTTAAACAGACAGCAACATTGAAGAAAAGAACCGAGTTAACAGACGTCGGCACGTTCCTTGAAGTCAGGTTTCCCGCCGTATTTAAATACGAAATGTGTGGGCCCGCGGCGTTTTGAAAAGACGCGACGCGCTTTGGAAAGACCCCGCGCCGTGGCTCATTCAAATTCGCTACATTTTTTGCTAAGTTTAATGTCTTCACCCACGATTATTGACCGTCAATGTTGACGGTAAGGACTTAAATTTTTACCGTCCGACGGGAAAAAATACCGTCAATTGACGGTAAAACGGGCGCTGGCTAAAGCCCTGGTTGAAAGTCACGAGGTTTGTAAACTTAGATGTTGGGGACAAAGCCATAGAAGAGATTTTGAATAAAATTATATATATATATTAACGTTACTTATAATTTAAGTTAAAATGTACTTTTGTGTCTCATTTTTTTATTCTGTTAAAAAGACTCTTAAAAGAGAGAAAACAGGTTATAAACTGTTATATACTTGATTTTTGTAATGTTTTAAACTTAAAGAGTTGAAATATAGAAGTGCATGTTCTCTCATTATATACAATGTTGATGAGAACTAGAACCATTTATATAACTTAGGTAAATTGAAATGCTAGGATGGGGAAAATGCTAGAATGCATTGCACTACGGTACGTTCCACCACCATATACTCCTCAACCATCCACCAGTTCGTAAAAACTGTAAGCCTGTAAGCGGCGAAAATGGTCAGCTTTTGCAGAAGCACTTGTTTGGTAGAACACTGTTTTTACCATGTAATCACAAGACGTGGTGACGACACACTCAAGTTTGTTTCAGCTTATATTAATGCCGCCACCAACACAGGGGACAATACAATACTCATTTTCACCTGAGCGAAGTGAGGGAAGTCGTGTTAAGTGCCTTTCCCAAGGGCACAAGATCGGTGGCATGCCAGGACTCGAACCCGGGACCTGTAGGTTCCGAGTCGAGCACTCTGCCGCTACGCAACACGACTCCTCGATAAAGCACAGAACACTGTTTCTTTTGTGGCAATAACATTTTTGCCCAAGCGCCGGACTGTCACTTTTTAATGCATACAGCATAAGGGGGGGGGGGGGGGGTATTAGGTATGGCGCCCACGTCCCGAATGACATCACAAGGGTCATGTAGCTGCTGCCTTTAGACGCTACACATGTGACCTCAATAGACTATCGTCCCAAGTGCTGCTAATTACTCTTTATCTTGTGAGAGCCAAGATTTGACACATTAATAACTTCTTACATTAAAATCCATATGTGCTAAAATAACTACATGTCAAGAATAAGAAATAGATACCAAGCATATTGCATTAGCGATCTTTTATGTAATATGTGATATTTGTTGTATGACATATGTTGACACAAATTAATAATCTCAACCCTCATTATCCATACAGCACTGTAAGCCGATTATTCCCAATAACCCATTGCAAGCTTTAAATTAATTGTATATATTTTACAGGGAGCTGAAATCGTTCAGAAAGTAAACAGCGACCCAGGCCTTGTCCTAGGTACGTATCTTATAAACTAGATGCAAATGTATTCCCCATGATCAGATCTTGATAATTTAATGTTTTGTTTATATTAACTAGATTGATTAAATCTTATTTTTAAAAATAAAAAAAAATCGTCTACAAATTTTGTGGTCTTACAACACTTGGTTTAGAGTTACATGGGGCCCTTCTAAAGACACATTACACCTCCCCTCGTCGTCCAAGGATACGTAAAAAGTGTAAAATCAGCAATGTTTGGTGTTAACGGCACACATGATTGGACAATGATATTAAAAGGCGATTTTTCTCGCACAGGTCCGAACTACTTCGGCAACTTGGACTACCGTGGGACTTTCTTTGTGAACACGCAGGTTGATGACGACTTTGTGGGTTTCGTCTTCAGCTATCAGAGCAACTCTCGGTTCTACCTGATGTCCTGGAAACAGGCAGGGGACAGCAGCGGTGGACAGGCGGGGGTACAGCTGAAGGTGGGGATTCGTTTTCAAATTCCTAAACACTAGTAGCATTCTCTTCTGTTGAAAAATGCTTGGCTCTGCATATACATGTAGAAACATGTTCATGTACCCTATCAGCTATATTAGCTATTTAACCCTTGTCCTGCTGGCAATTTTTACACAATATTTTCAAATAATTTCATGTCTTAATCAGGTCACAGTCCCTTGACTTTTTTTGCCCCGCGGTGGCGTAGTTACTTCCGCATTCGTTGCGTTTCGCTGCGGTGTGATGCGTTACACGAGAAACACCCCCAAATCGTACATATACAGGGTGCTATATAGATGGTACTGTATGTGCAACCCATATATATATATGGGCCCCGCAACGAGGTGTCATAAAGATCTAAAATATGTTAATTGCAATGGAAAGATGCACGCAAGTGTTTTAAAAATATTTTTCCAACTGCAAACAGCATTGATTTTTACCTTTCTTTTAACAAAGACTCCTCGGTGGTGGTAGAAGTTATCATAAAGCAAGTTCAACCTGAAACTTTTAACACAAAAAATTAGCTTACCGAAATCTTTGACTATACAACTCCAGTCTTTGTCAAAAAATACGAAATCTACCACTTCTTTGACGTCACGTTATGCAGATGACATTAAGGCTTACGTTTGTATTACTTGATAAAATCTACAGGCAAAGTGTGTACATACTCAATATTACGATGAATACATACTTGATATTCCAACTGATATAAACCGAATTTCTTGAAATAAACTGTTGGTTTGTTACTAGTTGGTGAACTCTACTACCGGGCCTGGTGACGACCTCTCACTGGCTCTTTGGAAGGGTGTGGAGGTCCCCGGACAGGTGAGGTTTTTCTGTCTACTAGTCATAATCTACTAGCCGTAAACAATTAACTATGTATGGTAAAATATAATTTAACAGTAAGACTATTACATAAGATATAAAACTGTTTTAAGTGGGTTTAACAAGCCTTTACATTGAGTAGAAACACTCTGCAGCGTTGTTTGGGTGGATCATGTATTTCACTAAACCGACTTATACAAGTGCAGCCCCGGGCATTGTTGTTTCAAATAACCTTTATAAATACAGTGACCCATTTAGTAATTACCCCACATATTTAAAACGAAATTATGTACATTACAGTATCAATATAAAGAAAAGTTTATATTAATTAAAATGTGTCGCATTAAGGTGTAACATCTTTATGTTATTCACAGACCAAGTTGCTGTGGGAGGATCCCAGCAAAGTAGGCTGGAGCTACAACACCGCCTACCGCTGGGAGCTGAAGCACCGGGTGGACATCGGGCTCATCAGGTAAGGACCGGGTTACAACGTCGTAAGATCGTCGTACGATCAAGCTAACTCTTAGGATGTTACTGCACGTGTCAGCAAAATTCAGATGCTTTGGTACGGAAAAGAATATAAAAGATCATTTTCGGAGATTGGAAATTCTATGGCTTGAAGATTGCACAAAGGCCTATGACCGCGTCCCATCTCGTAGTACACAATCCTACTTGTATTGTGCTGGGGATAAAGGAGTAGACAATACTAGTCTCTTTTATAGCGCTAACCATCAATAAACTAAAGATTTTGTACATGGGTGATAATTTCAGCGCTGTTGAAAAGAACGAATTCTTTTTTTTAAATCTTAAACAGCACTTAAACATTTTCACTGCATTGTACTTATGTTTAAAAATTACCCCAATTTACTTGAAATATATTACTTGTAGTATGCAACGTCTATCTGCCTACATGTATGTCCACGTTCGTTTTCTTCCATACCTTTGAAATTAGCCCTTAGGTCTGTGTGTTTTCTTTATGGTCATGTTTTTATGTAAGATTCCCGTATGTCTGTCCATGCAGGTTCCGTCTGTACTCCGGCAGTGTCCTTGTAGTGGACTCCGGTGACGTTCTGGACGCCTCTCTCCGCGGAGGCCGCCTGGGGGTGTACTGTTACTCCCAGGAGAACGTCATCTGGTCTGATCTCGTCACCAAGTGCGATGGTAAGGAATAGTGAAAGACCCATCAACAATGTTGAGAAGTCCAATCAGTTTCTTACAATAATTAACTACAGTATCAAGGGATAACGTAAATAGCAAAACACAAAACTGCGCATGGAAATGTATGAACACTTCTCATGCTTTATAAGGCCACGTCAAGTACATTTCATAAATGACATCCACTGCAGAATCTAAATTTAACGTGCTAGGGATAAAAAGGCGGACATAAAAACAAGACTCCTACATTTTACAAAATGTTGGTACCATCGTTGCTTTAACCTTGTTAAAGAAGGATGTAGTCGACAAAACATAATATCAACCTGTATTCAACAGTATCACTTGTCGTTGTAGATGACTTTACATAAATGACCCAAAATATCTTATACTGCCGTTAACGCAAACGATTGTGCCGACAGTTTACTGGATCCCTGATGAATTCGGGGATTTTCTTCTCACACAACCTGTATCTCACCTAATGTTATAGTTACTACCATAACACAGGGATCAATCACTGACAGTTTTTGAGTAGCCATAAAGCTGAACTGTCCGAACGCTAAAAATAACTAGTATTTGAATTACTGTACATTCCTCATAAAAATAAAACCCTAATGCATTCATACTGATGTATCCAACAATCGTTTATCTAATGATACCCTACCTAAGTATTATTGTTCCAATTGTTACAACATCCATTTGTAACTAAAACAAATAATGGCTTCTGCTCATATATGGCAAGTTGACCACTTCTACATCAATGCACGCTCTGATGTCATTCATAAAAGTACTTGCTCTTTCCTGATCACCAAGTACATTTTCTGGTCGCCTGTATAATTGGTCGCCTGTATAATTGGTCTGTATTTGATACTGCTTGGCCAAATGCAGCCACCCGAAGATCTGCTTGGGGATTACATGCTTCACCTATGCCTCCGATTTGCGGGGCTCTTTTAATTTTATCCTCAATTAAAAGAGACTACATCGTTATTCATCGTTCATAGATGGGCTGCCACTGAAGTTAACGTTTGGTTCTGATTTCTTGCAGGCAACACGGCATCAGCCTAACTGGATGCAGACATCCTAACAAGACAACGGAAAAGAATGGATGCTTTAAAAGCTTTTGTTATCTTTTTCCTGAAAACTAGTGCCAAAGATACGTAGCTACTCAAGATACTCCAGAATGTGCCAAATAAAGAACAGATTCAAGATATTTGGTCGTGTGCGTTACTTACCTTATAGAACTGTTAGATATTGTGTCTTCTTATACACTACTATGCATATATATATATATATATATATATATAACATATATACTTGCTCATACCCAACAACTATAACAACTAAACTGAAGACAAGTGAAGTTCATCTCATTATTCAACAACCCTTTTTTGTTTCTACATTTTACAACTTAAGTCATGTCGATGGTGCTAAAAAGAATTAACTGAAACACATTTGAATTTTTCCATCGACTGGCAGACACCAAAATAATGGGGGCTACAAATATTGTAAATTGAATTATGATCAAGATATCTTAGTTCGATAAGGATTGGGTGGGGGATCTTGGACCTTCAATCTGGACCAAATATTTAAAACTTGACGCGTTTCAGTGTCTGAGACGTTAAACAAAGAAATCGTTTCACCACTGTAGAGTTGAATTAAAGAATGAATGATTGAATTAGTAAATGAATGAATGAATGAATAGATGGACGAATAAATGGATGGATGGATGAATTAATGAATGAATGGTTCATGTGTTAAAACACATGGCAATCATGGGCTGAATTGCGTGTTTTAATACATGTGACATAAAAACACTTTAACATGTATAATTGGACACATTAGGAAGTGATATAAAACCTACAGGCCAGTCGGTCACGCACAAAGCTACTATGCATAATGTCTTAATATCACTGGTGCTGCTTGTTAAGAGAAGTAATATGAAAAATCGTCCTAAATCGTTTTACCAGTAGATGTTTCTGTCAGCTATAAAATAGAAAAGATATACTCAGCACATATTTATTCTGTATGGGTAAGGCTGATACACGGTGCTGGACACTTATAATGAAAAGGGTAATTAAGAAGACCAAAAGAGTAGCACAGATTAATTGACTACTCTTTATCTGAGTCAGAATTATGACAGTATTCAGTATGTCAGTATTCCCTTGTGCTGCGAGACACATATTTTTCGGTTGCACATACAGTACCTTTTATATAACGCCCTGTGTATGCACGATTTGGGAGTGTTCTCGTCCAACGCATCACACCGCAGCAAAAAGCAACGAATGCGGAAGTAACTGGTCCACATTTTATGTAAAGGTCCAATATTTTTATTGAAAAGATGGACTGGAATCGTAAAAAAATGCTCCCTTTGTCATTGAATAAAAATTTATCTTTATGATGTATCTTTATGATTTTTTCTTGGAAATCCTCCAAAAATACATGAAATGCCATTTTAGAAGGTTTAATTTTCAAATTTTTCCGGGGGAGCATGCCCCCGCACCCCCCTAGAAACCTCGAACCTTCGGCGCTCGAGGTCCCCTCCAGCAGTGGGAAGAATCCCCCGCACAAATATCTGCAGTTCGTAGTTCTACCTCTAACAGGTTGTTTCTGTACTGGGACTTTAGCGGCCGAGTATGACTCACATTGGTCAGAATACACGGTACTTCCCACTTACGTCATTGTTTTGTTTATTGTTTGCTTCCATGGCGCGTGTCAGTTCCGGGGTTACCTAATGCTGCTAGGGGGCCAAAACGCCAGTTCTTCCCCAGCACAAGAGCTACGTATCAGTCAAATTTTGTGCCCTTAGCATGTCTAGATCATGAGATATCAAAACCAGAAGTTACGCTGCAGTACCATAACAAGCCACCAGGGGCCCCAAAATCTAATCATTTAGAAGTGTCATCGATACCTTCCCATCTATCAAATATCAAGGAAATCAATTTTAGACTTTTTAAGACGAACGCTAATAAAAACATAGCATTGTTGGCAAAGGTAACTACGAGTAACGCCTAATTTCCTTTGTGAAGGCCCAAAGTTTATACGAGGCGTAGTGAGTTGTTAAAGCGAGTGACGGGAACTTACACTGAAATCCAGTCCATTCTATATCCGTTTCGCTCCAACGATCACTACGACGCAGAATGGTCTAGAACGCCCCTCCGCATTGAAATGTCTAATGCTGACTGACGTCAAAAATAAATAATTTATTTCCGGAACCCTATATCTCTCATGCTCAGAACAGTGTAACGTCTAAAAAACTTCATACCAAAATCAAGTTTCCTTGATTCGGTGGATCAGACCCCTTGCTTTTAATGTTGATGGATATTAATGTCTATTTCTTAATTAATTCTGCAAAGAAATTATTGAACATGAGTAGGCGGAGCTAAAAAAAAACCCTTCTTAGCAACGACCCTAGCAACGGTTTTCCCCACAGAAGGCCGTTGGGAATAAAACTTTTGGATACTCATATCTCTGGATAAAATAGACGAATTGTTATGCTTTTAAGCTTAAAATGTAGGGAATGATACATATGTGGCCTATATGTGAAATGCTTTAAAAATTAAATCAATGCCAAAAGTGTGGTAGGAAATTACAGTAAATGTCGATATCAGATCCCCTTATAGATAACCAGCATTTTAAAAGTTTTCCGCTCTGGATTGGATCATGGATGTATTAATTTTTTCAGCATTATGTAAAGGTCGTTAAAACGCCATTTTTCACCTATCGGTGCATGAGCACTGACAGAAAGACATACTTGTATTTCATCACCAGGCCACAGCAAGTAAATGTTATGGATTTCATCGTCCACAGACTCCAAATCTAATGGGAAAGGGCTAAAAAAACGCCAATGCCAACAGACATCTTTGCTAATTTTCGGCATGTTGACCACTGTCAGAAGGCAACTAATTTTTTTTGTTTTGTTTAAAAAAAACAGCAAAAATTAATGCGCTTGCAGATATCATTCATAAAAATTACTTGCTGTGACCTCATAATCATCATTATGTCGGGGGTTCCCGGTCCCAGACCCTCTCCCTCCAGTCCACTTGTATTTACTCTTTAAACAAAACCATCACTCCTAACAACGGTTGAGGAATAACAAGGTGCATAATTAAACAATGTACCAGAAATGTGACAAAGAATCCCAACACAGAGGCATGGTTTCTGATGCATTGAAAACAACACAATTTTCATATACATGATGTCACGCTTTGTAATGACTTTTCACCAGTAAATTAACTGTGTAAATCGAGCGAAAAAATATTTATGTTCGTATTCAGGATTAGTCAAAGGGTCCGTTGAAAAGTCAATTCAATTCATATAGGTTATTCAGCATGCTCTGTTTACATAATTTCAAATAGTGCGGAAAGAATGGTATAGACCGCAGTGCACCATGCACCTTCTTTTAGATAGTCGGAAAGCTTTTGAGCCACGTGGAGTTTCTAAATTCCGTTACACAGTCCTTTGTTGCTTATTTCCTCTTCGTATTTTTTTCTACCGTTTCCTCTTCGGAATTTCCTGGTTTTATAAGAGCTTTGTCACAGCTTAGCGGCACATCACTTGGGGTTAGTGATACTGGCAAGAGGTCGCACAAACGCTAAATCAATTCCTTGAGAGTTGGATAGGCAGAGACCGGCTAGGCGAGGGGACTGAGGTCTCTCTGGTCATCATCTGTCAGGACTTTGTCAAAGGTAGGGAAATTTATGTTTGTTGGTATTTAGCCTGATTACTCTTCAAACAGAGGTTAGGGTTTTGGGTTATTTTTGGCGCGTTTTTAGGCTTTTTTTATTAGGGTTTATTTTTTGCAATGGGATTTTTTTTTCACCCAAGAAATTGTTGGTGCAAAAAAGAAACCCTGATGAAAACAAGACTAAAACACGCCGAAATTTACCCAAAACCACAACCTCTGCTTGGAGAGTAAGCTTTGTAGGAATGTGCTGTAGTAACGGTCACATCCTAGGAGGTGAAGAGAGCCTCTTAGCTTATTAGTTACTATATAACGGTGGTCACCGCTTGTAAGTAGTTACTATATATGGTATGTGTATCGGCTGTCTAGTAATGCATCTACATTGAATATTAAGAGGCCAAAGTACAAGACTTATGAGGCTATATATCCTAGTACGTTCTTTATTTAAGAACAGTTATTGATATTGACGTGGTTTGCCTTCCTAAACAGCGCAATATATGTAATTAACGACAACGTAGAAAGATTATATAAAAGTAATATTGCGTGTGCACTGTATGTATAACCTAATTTCAATAGTAAGTCAGGTTAATCGGCACAAACATTTAACGATAGGCAATTTTGACTTTTTTTTAATATTGTGTGGCGTCCGTGGTGCAACGGTTAGAGCGTTGGACTCGGAACCGAGAGGTCCCGGGTTCGATACTCACCGTGGCCCGACGTTGTGCCCTTGGGAAAGGCACTTTACACGACTTCCCCACCTATACGGTGGAGTGACGCCCACCGAGCCTCCTAGGCTAATCTGTCTGTCAGGGTGCCAAAAACACCTTACGGATTTGGTGCGCCGATGTGACAACATCTCATATTGGCCACTGAGAACCGTTAATTTTTTTTTAAATATTTGGTGGCTCACATTGTGTCAGAGACTACAGATGGAATAATGTTAAAGGCAGTTAAAAATATGCACTTAGCTAGCCTCCTTCGCAGACTTGTATGGCGTGGCGTTTTTTTTTTCGGGGAGCGCCGCGAGTTATACCGCGGAGGGACGATTTTGAGGCCGAGGGAGTTTTGCCAGGGAGAGCGGGTTTCGCTGACCAAGCTGTCTCTCCCTGAAAAACTCCCTCGGTGGAAAATCGTCCCTCAGCGGCATAACTCGCGTCGCTCCCCGAAAAAAATAACGCCCTAGAAGTCTGCGAAGGAGGCTACACTCTCGCACTTTCACCGCACAAGTCGTGGTTTCTGTGTAATAACTTTTTAGAGACACCAGGTTGTCCGGTGTTACAGCGACCCCCCCAGTGATTTCGCCAGACTTAGTTAGTCTGGTCTCTTACACCCTACGTACCAAAGGTATGGCAGATACAAAAAATTGACTGAAAATGCTAACGATATTATTATGGTAATTTTGAAGCATGAAATTAACTTTCTAGGTTAAAGTATTCCATGTTGCTATGCTCAACAGCATAGTCACCTCAACAACGCAGGACTTAAGCTGTTTCATCCGTAAAATATCTTTGCAAATGTATACATA